TGGGTTTCCATCCAGGAGTTTGGCTTCAAAGTCCATATTCTTCATTTTAATGTTAACTCTTTTAATGTTGCCAAGTGACAAAAGCAAGGTACAGAAGAGGACACCATTATGTGGAAAAAGAAGGTGACACTATGTGGAAAAGATAACCAAGAAACTGGCTGCATTTAGAGGGTGGAAAAGGGTCAGTGATGGGAAATGTTAATTTTATTTTCCCTTTTACAAGTATTTCATAATAAAGTTTTTAGTGCTGCAATAGACCTACTCAAATGTATACATTGCCACACTTGTTTTATATTTAAGTAAATTCCTTGTGGCTGTCAGCAGCACATGGAGTACTGACTCAGTGCCTTTATTCCTTGATCTCTGGGATCAAGGTTCCAGGAAAAGTGCCCCAGGACCAGCTTTGACATCTGGGTGGGGGTGGGGAGGCCTCCTGAGGCCACAGCCATATGCTGCCAGCAAGACACCATGCCTATCGGCAGCACAGTTTTTCATTCCTTAGAAGCAAATATTAATTTTGTTATCATCCAATTAAGTTCAAGACTGATTATGCTAAACAAAACTGAATATGCATTAGGAAGGGCAGTTAGCAAATGTATTCAATTTGCAGCTGTTTCTCAAGGTTTTTAGTTTATTTAATTGAGGGTTTTCTTAGAGATATTAGCATATAACAATATTTGCAAATCTGGATGCTGGAAAAGAAATACAGTATTAAAATTAGTCATATCTGTGGAAATCCAAACAGATGTTCCTTTACAAATAGTATAATTTAGATAGAAACAAGTAAACAATTAGCTTAGTAATTAGGATAATGCATAGGAATGATTTGTTAAATTGCTTATGTTCTTCTCTGGCTTTAGCATGATAAACACACACACACACACAAAACTCTTCCTGAACTTCCCAGAGGAAAAATAACCCTGGAAATATAATCTTTATTCATATCGTTTCATAACTGTATGGTTAGCATTTCCCATCACATTCTAAAGAGCCAGTCTACAATTCCATCCTGACATCATTTTGCCATGCACGCTTAATCCTTCTTCTAATTCTCTGCCATCTCTCAGTCTTCCCATCCATATTTCCGAAATAGAAACTGCTCACTAGTTTCCTTCAGATTTCCTGGAAAATTATATTCTGAATCAGAGATTCTCAGAGCTGACTTAATAGATTTTCTAATCTAATAGTAATCCAATTCTTGAAGTCTTTTCAGAATATCTTCCTGTGTCAGCCAGTCAAGGATCAAATATCAGAACCCACAGAAAGCTCACACTTTCACGTCAGCCTCATCTGTTTTTAGATACTTCTGACTATTGAAATGTTCTTTCTGACAGTGAATAAAGATGGACCTCCTTGTAGCTTGATCCTACTTCTCATTCCATATGATCACAGAGAACAACTCCAACCCATGGTCAAAGGATAAACCTTCAATTATCTGAAAAGCAGCTCTACTCCACTATTTCTTCTCTGGGCTAAACATCCCATCTTTGTCTGTTTTTCATAGGCCTCAAGATAGCTTTCCATCTGGGTCACTCTCCTCTGAGTGACAGACAATTATCTCTACTCTTCTCAGACAGGAAAGAACTCTCAAAAGTGGTTTAACCAACCTGTAGTGAACTGGGAGTAGAACTTCTTCATTCTGGAAAAAGGTTATATTTCTATGAAATAACTTTTTGACAGTGATGTGATAGGTTTTTACTCAAATTGATTTCATTGTTCATTAAAAGTCTAAAGTCTTTCACATTTTATGTTAAGCTACACCTTCTACATCCCATAGACCATGAGGATTATACCTTGTACTCATTCCCATTCTATTTCACTCTCTTAAATGGACCTAATCTTTTGGATTCTAGTTGCGTCACTTCCCCTCTGGCTTTGGGTCATCCACAGTTCAGTTAATATGTCCTCAATGTCTTCATCCAAGTTGTAGGTAAAAGCAACCCTGGAAGAGTGTCTCCATGGACCATAGCCAATCATCAAGAGTTAGCCAATCATCAAGAGTTAGCCAATCACCAAAGTAGCCACAAATGCCTCTCAATTTAAGCTGTACTATCACAGCCTAATGATTATAACAAACCTTTCTTTTGTGTATCGTTTAAATTCCCAACCCTCTTGTCACTCTTTTCCCCACCTGAGAACAAGGGGGATGTAGGTCACAACAAATTTGAACATTTACAAATGTGATGAATAATAAAAAGTGTTGAAAAGCACTAAATTGGTTCTAAACTATAATGTTTAAAGTCTGAAAATCGAGTATTCTACATAGACTATCTATGTAGACTGTCTATATAGACATGCAATGAATTCTTCTAATTTTAGTGTGAAGGACTCTTCTTAATGTACCTTACTTGAGAGTTATTCATTATGACCATCAACATTATTCACCATACCTCACACATGACTGCCAAAGATGCTTTCATCTGTAGCAAACTTCTCCAGGTCAGTGGTCCATCAAATCTGCTGGCCTGCTAATGAGATCATGTATTCTACCACAAGAACCTGAGGCCACACTGTGGGATAGTGAAAAACCCAGGATCTTCCAGGCCCTGGACTGCCTATGAAGCTGCATGGGTAGTATAGGGAGGCCATATCTGGGCAGAAAACCAGGGTTTGACACTAAATTCCACTACTGCCTAGTTCTGTGGCCTTAAGAAATTTAAACAACCTTTCTGAGCCTCAATGTTTTCTTTGTGAAATAAGGACAATGTTACCTGTTTCCCAGGGTGAGTAAGAGGAGTAAATAAAATTAATAAAATGATGGATAAACTATGACTATAGTAAGTATGAGGGCCCTGGTGGTTCAGCAGTTAAGCACTCAGCTAATAAGCCACAGGTTGGCAGTTCAAAACCACCAGCCACTCCACAGGAGAAAAATGAAGCAGTCTGCTTCCATAAAGATCACAGCCTTGGAAATGCTATGGGTCAGTTGTACTCTATTTGCTATGAACCAGAATTGACTCAATGGTAACAGGTTTATTTTTTGGTTTATAGTCAGTGTTGTAGGTCTCTGGGTAGTGCAAATGGTTTGTGCTTGACCACTAACCTCAAGGTTGGCAGTTCAAACCTATCCAGTGAGACTGTGGAAGAAAGGCCTAGCTATTATGTAAAGATTACAGCCAAGAAAACACTATAGAGCAATTCTACTCTATAACACACGGGGTTGCCATGTGTCAAAACTGACTAGATGCCTAAGAGTTTATTCTGTTTGATCGACTATTTATTTATGTTGTTGTTGTTAGGTGCTGTCCAGTTGTTCCAACTCATAGTAGTCCTATGTACAATAACATATGTTATTTATAGTAAACAGTAATGTTTATTTACTGTCTAAGTTACTTATGGGAGCTCTGGTAGCATAGTGGCTAAGATACCTGGCTGCTAACCAGAGGGCTGGCGGTTCAAACCCACCAGCCACTCCTCGGAATGAAGATGGGGCAATCTACTTCCGTAGTGATACTGCCTCGGAAACCCAAGGAGGGGTCGCTATGAGTTGGGTTCGACTCGACGGCACATAACAACAACAACAACAAGTTACTTATAGTACTTATAGCAAAAATTATAAACATATTTATAAAAAAAACAAAAAATGTTTATAGCAAATATTATCTAAATGCTAGTTTCTTATTCTCATATCTGTGACATTAATAATACTGTCCTGCTCAGAGTGAACCTTAAATGAGTGAGAAGGGAACATAAGAATCAAGGTACGATGATAGAGAGTCGTGTGTGTGTGTGTTGCATGAAATGGTATTTTATTGTATAGCTAAAAGAAATCTAAAAGGCCTTTTCAATCTATTGAATATTCTTATTTTTTAAAAAAGCATACCTCAAATTTCATTTTTAAATATCTCAGTTATATTTTAATCTTATGGCTCTAAGGAATGTATTTTTTAGATTAGTTTTTTAATACCTTGCTACTCAAAATGTAGGATCAGCACTACAGGGAGCTTGTTAGAAAATGCAGAATATCAGGCCCAAAACCAGATCTACTGGGTCAAAATCTGCATTTTAACAAGGTTCCCATGTAATTTGTATATACAACGAAGTTTGAGCACAACTGTTTAACAGATCATATACTCTTCCAACTTAATGTTCAGGTTGTTTGTGCTCTATCTATATCCCAGGTACAGTATTTAAGCACTAGAGTTTTAGAATAAATTAAATAACATGCTTAAAGTTTTTTGTTCACATTTTGCATCTTTCATTCTTAGGTGTAGAAAGGAAAGAAAGAAACTAAACACCTCACTCTCCCACTAAGGTGGCCTCCCCCGATAAAGATGTAATCACTGAGGGGAAGAAGAAAACCAATAACAGTATGTAGCTTTGCTTCCTGAAACAAGAAGACAAAACATCTTTTAAAGATTGATAGGAATTGTGCGATTTAAAAGTCAGTTAATTTTCCAAGGGACTATTTCTAAAATCACCTTTCTAATAACATTTCTCTTGTGCAGTAAATGTGATAATCTATAACTAATTTCTGCAGCATTCAAGTAAGACTGAATTTTTTTTCAGAGAGATGTGTACAACATCATAGAAATTTTTACCACCTCTATCTACTATCTCGCAAATCTTAAAAAAAAAAAAAATGTGTTGGGGGAGGATATAATTGAGAAAATAACCAAGGACCACTGTGACTGATGTCCTGTTGTCTTACTCTTGTTATTCCTGGGAATGGGCCACTACAATGGCTGGAGAACTGCATGCTGGAGTGGGTCTGTTTTATTTACCAAACTTTTTGGGAGAAATTCGCTTGCCTTTTAATTAACTATCTGTCTTCCAATAATATAATCCAGTAATTAAATATAATAATTTGTTAATAGCTAACAAAGTTAGCTCACTAAAAGAATATGGACTATGAAATTCTATATATGATCTTTTCTTTAACACTTTTTATTAAGTAAACATAGAACTGTAGTACAATATATATGATTAGCAGAACTAGAGTCTTCAGAGAAAGTCAAACTGAAATGTGTGCCAAAGACAGTTAGACAACATGATTTTACCTGCTGGATCCCTGATTGGTTCCCAGTGCAAGTCACTGTCTTTTTCCCTGATCCAGCCACAAAGTCCATGGTCAAAATTACAACTGTGTATCAGAACACCTAAAAGGATATAACCAGAAATAAATAAAAAACCCAACAAATAACAACAAAGATGAATTTGTGAACAAGGGGTATGTGTATAACAAGTGTTCTCCCTGCCCAGGCTCCACTATCCCACCACAACATCTCTCTCTGAGGTCAGAGGGAAATTACAAGAATCTTTTCTCAGCACAATTTTGCATGCATGCTCAGCTGCAAAAATAGAACACACAAATGTTGCCAAATTGTGACCTTGTTACATCAGCACTTACAAATTATGATTTCCTCACAGTTGAAGGACTGCTTTAAAATATTTTGAAAAAAGAAAAGAATGATGATTCATAATTATTTTTGCTCAAGTGATTTAAATACAGGGGCAACCATGGTACAGTTAAAACAAAACAAAAAACATAGTTTTCCCAGATGCACTCAGTCAATCTACAATTCAAAAGCTATTTTCATGAAATAGAGGGAAACAATCATTATAATGGGACTAAAAATATAAGTGTCTACCTGGATCATCCTTTGCTTCATCATCTGCACTGACTCCTCTTTCTATTTCAAATATTTCAAATAAGTCATTTGAAGGCTGCCGTGGAACTGCAAGAGAGAATTTTTTTTTTAATGAGGTATTGAGAAGGAAGCCTTACCTTTAACAAGGCGCAGAGGAAAAAGGCCTAAGCATTTTATTCCTCTGAAAGAGTATGCAATAGTTCATTATATTTCATATGATTCATGACGTTTGCTCTGCAGTAATTTATACTGTAATATTCACCTGGGTGCAATCAAAAACAGATTTTTAAATGTTTCTAAAATTCAATGTAAAACTACATGAAAAGCTTCATCTAAAAAACACATTTTAAAAGAGCTGCCAATTTCTAACAGAATATTCATCTCTATGAAATTCTAAAGTTTATCTTTAAAATTAATCTCTGGAAAAGATATATTATTTTGAACTCTACATTAAACCTGTTTAAACTAAAAATAAGTATAATTAGACTGAACAGTTTGGTTTTCTAACAACAGAATTGACTCCCCACAAATGAACTCTGATCACTGTTACATTCTATATTACTTATCAGCTAAGCAAGTTCCTTGGCTCCCTTAAGATCAAATCCAAACTTCTTTAACAGCATTCACAATCCACCCCACCAAAATACACAACACTATCCAAACATGCCATTCATTTTCACATCTCTCACCCCCACTCCCCAGCTTGGGATGCTCTTGTTTCTGCTAATTAACCCTTCTTGGCTCAAGGCCCAGTGTAAATATCACTCATTGCCTCTGAGAAAACCTGGATGCTCCAGGCCAAATTGAATTCTTTTTCCTTCTACTTCAACAGCTCATGTTCACACACCTCTATTACATGCTCTCTTAAAGAATTGCAATTATTTACACATATATGTGTCTGTCCCTCTGCTAGTCTCTGGGGTCCTGGAGGGCATCAATCATGTCATATTCATGTGGCTTTCCAGAGTTTGACCTGGTGACAGGCACACAACAGGTGTTTACTGAATGAATATAATGATACTGTCAGAAAACCAAGTATTCTGTCAACACTTTTCCTCAAATAAGTGGGATAAGAGTCTACTTTTAGAAAATAATTGATTTATTTAAATAATTTATTGATTTACTCTATCAATGTATATTTGATTGCCATTCTCATGCTAAGCACTGTGGAAAGCCCTGAGGGGACAAGTTGAATGACCTGAACAAGATCAACAAGGTCCTGCCCCTCAGAAAGCTGACATTTGAATGGGAGAGGCAGAGGTTAAAGAAATAGATACATTGAACATTATAATTCTTGATTGTGACAAGGGCTAGGAAGGAAAAAAAAAGATGATGTCATGAGTAACTGGGTTGGAAAAGGGTGTACGCATATTGGTGATGGTGAGGGGAATTCTTGGCTAAATATCAGAAAAGACTACCTTTCCTTCACCAGAACTTAAATTAATAGCTCTTATTTCTATAAGACAGGGAGTGAAAGATGAACTTAGAACATTAAGCAGATATTCAAAAGAGTTCTTTTTTCTACAAGATTTCTTTTTTTCAATGTTTGCTCTGGTTTCTTAGCTTCCTACTTCTGAAGTCTTTTTTATTTTGTTTAAAAGTCCACACAGAAACCCCCTTTCCTCTTCACAACGTGGACTCAAGTTTACCCAATTTGAGAGGGATGGCAGAAGAGAAACTAGGCAGTAGACAAGCTCTAGGAACACAACTGGACGACTGGTGCCCTGGCAGTGAGACAACCAGCCTCCCTCTCTTAAATCCCCAATGACTGACAACAGTGACAGCCCATTCACCTTTTCCTTCCTCATTTGGGGCTCTGTTGGGGGGCTGCCTTATTCTTTACTAGAAATTAAACAAAGTTGGAGGAAGTATGCTTCATTTCTCATGATATAAAGAAACTTATAAAAACTCTATAGAATAATCCATGCTTTTCTTTTCTTCCCTTGTTGTAATTTATACAAATCATCTCCAGAATGAAATCATCAAAAGCTCGCCATATTATGTTCTAGGGACATTATTCTAGTCTCTCAAATCTACTTTTTCTCCCAGAAGGACTGGCAAATGGCAAACGGAGTCATGGTCTATAGGAGCAGGATCGTACAAAGGTTTGCTGTCATAGGGAAGGGGAGTGTTTTATAAAGGGAGATCAAGAAGATCCTCTTTTAGGACTACCATGTGCATGCAGCCATGGAGAATGTGGAACATGCCAAGTAAAAAATGAAGTCTTGAGATGAAAGATGGAATGTTTCAGGCAGAAAATACAAAGTGCTCAAATATTTTAAAATTAGGAAGGACTCTGAATGGCTGGAGGGCACTAAGAAATAGAGAGGGTGGCAGGGGATGTGGTTTTAGAGAAAGGAAGGGTCTAGACACATTTGGAAATGAGCAAACAAAACATCTGACCATTTAGCAGTCTACAAGGCTCACGTGGTTCATGAGTATGTTTTAGGCACTTGTAGTTATCATGCATATGTATAACTCATTAAGGCAAATGGCAAGGGAATTTAGGGACCTGAAATGCTCAGCAACTATGAGTTTAATTTCATGTACTGTACTTTGTAAACTAGGAGCTCTGGTAGTGTAGTGCCTAAAGCACTTGACTGCTAACCAGAAGGCTGGAGGTTCAAACCCACCAGCTACTCCTTGGAAGGAAGATAGGGCAATCTACTTCCGTAGTGATACTGCCTTGGAAACCCAAGGAGGGGTCGCTATGAGTGGGGGCTGACTCGATGGCACATAATAACTTTGTAAACTTTTCAAAGTTTAACTACTTTTCCTTCCTCACCTATACCTGAATGGATTTCTCAGTGCCTCCTATTGGAGTGTGAAGAAAAGGAACACTACCTTGGTATATTATTGGGTTTATGAAAACATACTAAGTGAAATAAGAAATGGGTAAAATCATTCACAGAGTGTGATCTCCATTGTGTACAAAACAAACAAACAAAAACTGAGCTGAAAAAAGTGTAAAAATAAATATGCCGATAGTAGTAGTCTCTGAGTATTGGAAATCAAAGTAATGTTTTCTCATTCACTGGTTTGTCTTTTATTATTCTATTTTTT